CAAACTCAAAGAAAGAAGCTCAAAACCCAGTAGTGCAGCTCCTGGATTCTGGAAATCTTGTTCTACAGGACAGAAATGCTGGTATTTTGTGGCAAAGCTTTGACTATCCAACTGATACTTTGCTGCCAGAGATGAAACTTGGATGGGACTTACGGACAGATCTTAATCGACAAATATTGGCGTGGAAGTCCCCAGATGATCCATGCCCAGGAGACTTAATTTATGGGGTAGTGCCATACAATAATCCTGATACTGTTGTTTGGAAAGGCTCGAGAGAATACTCTCGGACAGGCCCCTGGAATGGCATTGGAACAAGTGGTGCACCCCAATTGAAGCCAAATCCGTGGTTTACGTACAACTTAGTCTCAAATGAAGAGGAGGTTTACTACATTTTTTCCCTCAAAAACAAATCAGCAATCACAAGGCTTATTGTGAACCAAACTACCACAAGGGTGGAACGCTATTTGTGGAATGAAGACACTCAGACTTGGACAGTGTCCAACCATATTCCATGGGATGACTGTGACATCTATGGGACTTGTGGGGCATATGGGACCTGTGTCAGTACAGCACTACCGCCTTGTCAATGTTTAAGAGGTTTCAAGCCAAAATCGCAAGAAGAAAGCTCAGTGGACTGGCTTCAGGGATGCGTGCGCAATAAACCTTTAGCTTGCCACGAAGGTGATGGGTTTATCAAATTTGGTGGGCTGAAACTGCCAGATACTGCACATTCTTGGGTGAATAAAAGTGTGAACCTCAAGGAGTGCAGGACTAAATGCTTAGAGAATTGTTCCTGTATGGCCTATACAACCTTGAATATTAAAGAATCCAGCGGTTGTGCAATTTGGTTTGATGATCTAATTGATCTTAGACAGGTCCAATCTTCTGGACAAGATTTATATGTTCGAATGGCTGCTTCTGATTCAGGTATTAGGTTAGACATTTCAGTATTTCCTGAAGTTTTGTTATGATTCCTCTTTATGTTGGGTGTTTCCAGTTCTATTTTCAGTTAATTTGTGAAACTATTTCGTTGCTACAATACTAATTCATATATTTCTTCTTTGCTTTATTGAATTAGACCATGAAGAGACAAAAGGCAAGACTAAAATGAAGGCAGGACTGATAATTGCAAGTACTATTCTTGTAGTTATTGGTGCTCTTGTAATCACCTATTACATTTGCAGGGGCTGTCAAAACATAGAAGGCATGCTTGTTTGCCTTCACAAATCTTTTTGCCATTAAATATTGATAGCAACTTCCATTGGTTCTTTTCTTACAATTTGGTTTTGATTAAATTCCCCGCTATTTCAGGAAGAAGAAATGGCACGAGCAATGAAGGGCAAAATGAAGATATCGAACTCTCATTATTTGAATTGGCGGTAATATCCAGGGCCACCAATGACTTCTCTTCCCACAACAAGCTAGGAGAAGGTGGCTTTGGTCCTGTATACAAGGTAAATGCTCAAAGATGTAGTAAAAATGACTTCCAGGATAAGAAGTATATATTTATTAAGAAATGAACTTTACAAGTACACTTTCCAGGGTACTCTGCCAGACGGAAAAGAAATTGCTGTGAAGAGGCTCTCCAGAAGCTCTGAACAAGGATTAGTAGAGTTTAAAAATGAAGTAGCACTTATAGCTAAACTTCAACATCGAAATCTTGTAAAGCTTCTAGGATGTTGCATTCAGGGGGATGAAAAACTGCTGATTTATGAATATATGCCTAATAAAAGTTTGGACTTCTTCATTTTTGGTATAGATTCCTCTTAAATCCGTTCAAATATTAGTAGTAGTAGTAGTATAAATTCATCAGATATTTTTGCCACATTTCTATGCAACTCTATCGAAAACTAGTTGAACACTACATTGATATGAAAAACATGTTAATGTTACAGACCACACAAGAAGAAATCTATTGGACTGGCCAAGGCGTTTTCATATTATTTGTGGAATTGCTAGAGGGCTTCTTTATCTACATCAAGATTCTCGACTGAGGATCATCCATAGAGATCTCAAAGCAAGCAATGTTTTGCTTGATAGTGAAATGAACCCCAAAATTTCAGATTTTGGCATGGCTAGAACGTTTGGAGGAGAACAATCTGAGGGAAACACAAGGAGGGTGGTTGGAACCTAGTAAGTCCTCTTTCTGTGCTACCTAATTTACTACAAAATCCCTATTAATATAATTTGTCTCAACCTAAGGGGAACACAAAGTGATGGTTGCAACTTAGTGAGTCCTCACCCTATACTAACTTACCACAAATCCCTATTGATATAATTTGTCTCAAATAATTTTGTTGCAGTGGTTATATGGCACCAGAATATGCCATTGATGGGCAATTCTCTATAAAATCCGATGTTTTCAGCTTTGGAATACTATTGCTGGAAATAATAAGTGGAATGAAGAATAAAGGGTTTTACCATGTCAACCACAGTGTTAACCTTATTGGCAATGTAAGTATCAAGATTCAAGACCTCTTTTCTTACTTTCCTTGAACTAGAACATGATAGAAAGTTTCTACTATGTATTTAGGCATGGAGATTGTGGAAGGAGGGAAATCCTTCAAAACTGATTGATTCATTTGTAATGGAGTCTTGCAATCTATCTGAAGTATTAAGGTGCATCCACATTAGTCTCTTATGTGTTCAACAACACCCTGAGGATAGGCCAAATATGTCAT